CCTCCTCCTCCTCCTCCTCCTCCTCCTCCTGGACCTGCTCCTCCTCCTCCTCCTCCTCCTCCTCCTCCTCCTCCACCTTGAGGAGCATGAATCAGGGCCCCGTAGACCCGGACACGCTAGACCCGGACACCCAATATCCCTCGAAACCAATTTTTCCAAACGGCGGCACGAACAAAATACTGCACTGCAACATTTCCAAAATAAACCCGGACACAAGCCTCAAAAGCCAGCAAGAACCCCCTAAACCTGGACACAATCCCGAATCCTGCAGAGCAGCAAACAAAACATGAATGGGTGCTGAAAAACGTGACTTTGCAGGAAAGGATGTCGTTTCCTTGGTTTTCCGTGTCCTGGTTTATCTGTGTCCTGGTCTCCGGGGGCCTGAATGAACCTTGTTTACTTCTGCCGGCTACCGCTAGCCTTCCGCCTGCTTTCGCTGGCGGAGCCGCCCTGGTTTACTTCCGCCCGCTTCCGCCGAGGAAGAGGTACCAACTCCCTCGATCCTCGAAAGCGAGACCCTTTTCTGGAGCACCCCACGCGGGCGCCTGCGGACTGGGAAGTGGATAGCGTGAAACGCCGAAGCGTAGTAGTGGGCTAGAACTGGCGGCGCGACACGCTAAGCAAACGTTCCTGACCGCATCCCCCCTGTCGGCACTCCCGAATTTTCGGGTCATAACTCGGCTCTGCGGCGGCCGTTCGGCACGAGTCGGGCACCCCTGGAACGATCCAGGCGAGGCGCAGCTGCCAGAAAGCATCACGAGACAGAACAATCACAAATAAGAGACGAAACGGTCCAAACACCTCGAACCTGTGACCGCAATTCGTGATGGGATGCGGAGCGACACGCTGAGTCAAAGTTCCTGAACACAGTCCCGTGCTTAGTGTCTGGTTGACCACTCGGCCGACCACACCACCCGATCACGCGATCTGACCGCAGCCCCGATCACGATGGCTATCTCGCCGATCACGGATCGATCACGCACTCCAGCTCGGACGATCGCGTGATCAAGCCGAACCAATGATAGAGGGCAGAAAAACCACCCTCTGAATAAGCACCCCGACAAGCGAAGCCTCTAGTAAACGCACCCAGAGAAGGGATCAAAAAGGGCAAGGCTGTTCAGTAAAAAACCCAACGCTGTATCGTAAACACCGGTTGTGGGGGTCGGGGTACTTCTTCCGCCCTTGAGATCGCGCCAGCGGCGATCACGTGATCCCAAATATCCGCTGTCGTGTTTTTTTCTATACGGAATCCCCAGAAGTCTCGACCCATGCCCCAGGACCAGTTTTTCGTCCTGAGGCGTTTATTGACACTCCCGGGGCCCGGCGAGGGCCCCTGGAGGTTCAAAATCACGACGCACCTCCGCCTTGATTTCTTCCACGCCCTGCACCTCTGGGATCACGTACTCCCCCGACCCCTGCGATCTGTGATCGCCGTTCGCCGTGCCCGCCTCCGCCGCGCGCGGCCGCTTCCGAGCAGGCGCCCGCCGGGGCACCGGCGCCCTCGGCGCCGGCGGGCCGCCTGGCGGGCCGCCCGGCGGGCCGCCCGGCGGGCCACCCGCGGCGCTGCACGGCGCGGTCCCCGCGGGCGCTGCCGCCGCCGCGGGCCCCTGGCGCGGCGGCTCAGAGATCCAGCGTCTTGAACAAACTCGTGATATTATTGCCACGAACACCGACCTTGGAGGACGAGTGGGCGTGACTTGCGAGGAAGAGAAAGGCAAAGAAGAGGATGCCAAAAGGGCGCATGATGCTGCTTCCCGTGTTGTCCGTTTGACGCTGTGCCGCTTCAAAGCGCCTTGTGCTGGTTCCCGTGCTGTCCGTTTGACGCCGTGCCACTTTGTCGGGGCGTCTCGGACCATCTTGGAGCCCTGTTGGGCAGTCTTCGGGCCCTAGGGGGTCTCGGGCCATCTCGAAACAAATCAAGGCGGAAATTTTTCGTAGGTTTCAACCTCCAGGGACCCTGGCCGGGCCCCGGGACTGTCAAAAAACGACTCAGGATGAGAAACTGGTCCTGGGGAATGGGTCGAGACTTCTGGGGGCCTCGTATTGAAAAAAATCACGCCATGGGATCTCTGCGTCAGGAATGGGCCTATTGAGGCAGAAATGCATCCACACAGATGTCAAGAGTTCCACCAGATTTCCGTGTTTCCTGGAGTGTCCTCTTCCCCTCCATGGTTCCAAGATCTTCCAACATCTTGATCGAAACAAGCATGTGAAACTTTAGGAGGAGGAGATCGACGGAGCGCGCCAAAGGCGGCGCTGGAGACGCCGCCAGGGGCTCCCAGCGCCGATCCACGAAATCCGCTCGGAGCTCCGAAAATCAGATCCAAAGCCCCGGACCGCATTTTTTTACTGCGGCATGTTTGCTCTGTGACGGCCCCAGAGCCCGAAACTGGGCAAAAGCGCCCGGCTCGAACAAATCGAGACGCCAGGATCTCAGGGCCTGCTTGAAGTCCCTCAGCCTCCCGGGCCCAATCTTTGAGCCACCATGGAGGGGAAGAAAGCGGGATCATGATCAAGACTGATCGCGGAAACGTCGGTGTCGATCTTGGTCACCGTTCATCTTGGCCAGCGTCACCTCGTGGATCAACATCCTGGCGAGCTGGCGATGGCCAGCAAGGACCATGACCAAGATCGGCGTCGACGAGACGTAGCGACGCCTTGGTCATGGTCGGCCTGCTTCCTCCCTCGACGCCAGCTCGCGCGCCTCGGCCCCGAGTGCCGCGGCCAGCGCCGCGGGTGACCGCCGGCGGGGGCGCCGTGGCTGGGTGGGCGGAGCCACCGCCGCGCCGCGCTTCTGCCCCGCGGCCGCCGCGCCAAGCCCCGCGGCGGCCCCGCGCACCTGCGGCGCGGGCACAGCTGGCGGTGCCGCCGCCTTGGCCGGCGTGCCGGCCGCCGGCACCGACGCCGACGACGCCGACGCCGACGCCGACGCCGACGCCAACGCCGACGACGCCGACGCCGACGCCGACGACGACGACGGCGACGACTGCGGCGATGACGTCGTCGACGTCGACGTCGACGTCGACGACGACGACGACGCCGACAACGCTGACGACGCTGCGGACGACGACGACGCCGACGCCGACGCCGACGACGACGACGAGGCGGAGTGCTGGCGCGCGGCGGCGTCCACCGTCTCCGCAGTGAGGGCGCTCTGGGCCGCTGCTGGGCAGCTGGCGTCTCGGCAAAATGGGAACGGCTGGCTCTTCTCGGCCTGTGTAGATTGGCGGCGCGCACGAGGGGGCAGCCGTGTTTCCAGGGCCAGCTCCCAGTAGGCTCGGATCTTAGGTTTGCCCTTATCCTACGAGCATTGCCCTCTCCTCCGTCGCCCCATAACACACACACACACATCGCGTTCGCGTCTCGACAACATGGGAGCGGCTGGCTCTTCCCTTGTCGGCTTCTATAGGTTGGCGGCGCGCGCTCGAGGGGGTAGCGCAAAGGGGCGGCCTTCTGAGAAGGCTGGAGGGCCTCTGAGAAGGCAGGCGCTTTCTTAGAAGCCCTCCCGGCTTCCAAGATGCCTTCTTCCAGGCCCCTGCAAACGGGGCGTTAGTAAACGGGCATGTAGCTAAGGGTGCGTTTTCAATTGTGCTTTCATCGGGTTGATCTGCCGCGCACAAGCGCGAGGTAAAAGCCCCCCGCCCAAAGTTTTGATGATGTATCGGCGTTTTTGTCGCCCCGATTTATCACGCACTAGTGCGATCTAAATGCCCTGCCACCCCGTTCTCGCTTGAAGAGGCCTCTTGGCTACCGCCCCGTCTACTAACGCCCCGTTTGCAGGGGCTTGGCTCTCAGAAACCGCCAGGCTTAGGTCGACCATGTCCTCCTACAGGCGGATCTCGGATGAAAACATTCAATACCCAAAAATACACCAAACTTGACAAAAAATGCGAAACACATCGCCCCACAACTATCTAAAGAGTTCTGAAAACTCCTCCTGTAGAGGGACACGCCCGACTCATCTTAGAAGGCCTCCCCCCCCTCGCGCCACCCCCTCGTGCGCCACCCCCTCGTGCGCGCCGCCAGATACACCCAACCCGCATAAAGAAGGATGCGCGGTAAGGATGCAAAGGGCCTTGGAGAGCCACGTCATCGTTTTTCGAACGAGGTTGGCCGGGTCTGGGCCCCAGGACCGTGCAAAAATGGCTCGAGGTAAAACACCGGGCCCGGGAAGGAGGTCGAGAGGTCCAGGACGAGGCCAGGACAAGGACAGCATCGGACAGGGCGAAATCGGC